GTTGTAAATGCACTGTTCCTAGTCAATTGCTGCTGTTTTCTTGGGTAGGCCGGTTTTTTGTATTGATTTCCAGGAATTCTTTATGTATCCTGGACATAAGCCTTTTGCTGGATATAGTATTGAGAATTTACTCTTTCATCATGGGGCTTTCTTTTTCTTAATCTAAATTGGTCTTTTGATGAACAGAGTTTACATATCTTAATTAGTCATATATATAAATTTATTTTTTCCTTTGTGGCTAACTCTGTGTCCTATTTAAGAAATTTTTGTCTACTAAAACCTCATAAAAAATAAACCTTGGATTTGTGGTCATCTGGTTTTTGATACAGGCATGCAGGCAATTCAATGAAGAAGGGATAATCTTTTCAGTACAGGGTGCTTAAAAATTGAATATCCTCATGAAAAACCTTAAACTATACCCTTACTTCATACCACACTCAAAAAGGATCATAGACCTAAATATAAGAGCTAAAACTATAAAACTATTAGGAAAAAAAAAGATCAAATCTTTATTTCTTTGGGTTAGGCAAAGATTGCTTAGATGATCCAGAAAAGAAAAAACCATAAATTGGACTTCATGAAACTGAAAAAATCACAGCATGTGATGTCAAGAGTGGAAGAAGAGCAAGTGTGCACACAGTGAGACTTGGCTGTCAGATAATAGCTTGTGAGTGAATAGAGTTCACACGACTTCCATGCTCTACTGGGTACTAGACAGCTTAGGTCACCTCCTCCTCTCAAACTCAACCTACCCCTCAAATTCAACCTCCTTCTCGGCTGGCCATGGCATCCTGGAACTGCTGGTACTCTGACACCAGGTCTTTCATGTTGTTCTTGGCCTCAGTAAACTCCATCTTGTCCATACCCTCACCTGTGTACCAGTAACATGGCAGTGAACTGCTCCAAGATGCAACTGAACAAATCCTGGATGGCTGTGCTGTTGCCAGTGAGAGTGGCAGACATTTTTAGCCCCTGAGGTGGGATGTCACAGAAAGCTGTTTTCACATTGCTGGTAACAACTTTCATTCTTTTGCATGTGGATATCCAGTTTCCCAACACCGTTTATTGAAGAGACTGTCCTTTCCCCATTCTGCATTCTTGGCTCCCTTGTCAAAGATTAGTTGATGGTATATGCATGGGTTTATTTATGGGCTCTGTATTCTGTTCCATTATCTAAATGTCTGTTTTCATGCCAATAACATGTTGTGTTGATTGCCATAGGTTTGTAGTATACCTCCAGCTTTGTTCATTTGATAACTTCAGTTTTGTTCATTTTTCTCAAGATTGTTTTGGCTTCAGGGGATCTTTTGTGGTTCTCTATGAATGGAATGAATGGTGGCAGTGGAATTTATGCTCTAATGCAGTTCAGGGCCAGTGGTGTGGGAATCTATAAGGGCTGGTACTACTTTGTCTGGGCCTTTCTGTGATGTATGAAGAGGCAGGTTCCATCGCTGTGTTCAGAGGCCAAGGATGTTCATGCCCTCTCCTCCTCCTCATGATCAGGAAGACAGGAAGACAACATGCCACTGACATTAGGGACACCTTCTCCTGGGACTCCTGTGGCTCAGGCCCTTTGGCTCCTGCACAGGATACATCGCAAGAGGAAGGCGAGATGTTGGGCAACTCGCTCTGTTGGCTTCTTCTCTAACTAGAAGCTTCGGGTTGTGTTCCCCTGGGTCTTAGTCCTGTTGGTGAACGTGGATTTTCCAGTTCATTGTTCTAGTGCTTGCAAGTAGGCATGGAAGGTGCTAAATATCTCTAGGCCATGGAGGCACAAGAGATGAGTATTCAGGTAGCAGCCCGAACCTGCAAGAACTGACATTGATTAGAGCAAGGTGGGGAGCAATCACCTAGCCTACATATGTGCACTTATGTGAGGACTAGGAGAGAGCAAGAAAAGACAGGTTTACATTGCTTGTATAACCATGTGTTTTTAGTGGGTAACTAACACACACACTGACCAGTATGATGCTACTAGCCACATGTGGCCATGAAATTAAAATTAACCAAAATTAAAATTTTCATTCTTTAGTTTCACTAGCTGTATTTCAAGTCCCCAGTAGTTCTGTTAGTAAGAGGGAGAATCCAGAGTCTTTTTTCTAGAGCTTATAGACTTAAGCTCCCACTCTTGAACAAGGCACCGTCACTACCCTACAGCACCTTACAGAGGAGTAGTGAGACTCGTAAATATAAGGGACTCTGTGTTCTAATGGAGGCCTGTGTAGTTGTTGTGGGGGCCTGTAGAAGCCTACTGAAACCCTTACATTACCTGAGCCATACATTTTGCTGTGCAGGGAAACTGTGAACTCATGACGCAGAGGCCATGGGTGACTAGGGAACCTCCTGCTTCCCATCTGGAGACTTGAGCCAAAGCCCAAGGTATGACTGACACTGGGGACAATTTCTCTGGTAATTCCAGTTGCAGCGCAGTCCCTCTGAACCCTAAACATGCCCCTTCCTGAGGGGCCAGGAATTAGTTGGGCAATTAGCTGTTAGTTGTCAGGGACTTGGGGCTATTTCTCTCTGGGGTCTCTTTCTGATGGCTAAAAGGAAATCTTCTTGCCCATTGTTATGAAGGTGGTGAACAGACATGAAAGTCTGTAAAGGTTCTCGGGCTGGCAAAGTTTGCTCTTTTTCCTTGGATCCTGGGTTCTCTGGAAAGAAAGTGAGGATTCAGGTAACAGCAGGAAGCAGAAGGTATCGCTACTCATAGTACTAGTTTAGATCAGAAGGAGCCCAGTAATCTCCATAGTTGCCTGTGAGTGGGGTGTGTGTGTGTGTGTGACCACTTTCCAGCGTGACAGCTTTATGTCCTTGGGTTTGACTTCTCTGATGCTCAGCATCCTCCACTGTCAAATAGGAATAATGATAATTGCGGTAAGATCTCATCTGCAAGGTGCTTAACAGGTGCTAGGCACATCATAAGCACTTAGTAAGTTGTAGCCACATGACTCTCCATTTCCTACTGCTCAGGAGACAATATTTGATATGAAGACAGGAATATTAGGCCCATCCAAAGGCTGTCTCCCAACACTCCAGGTCTCAGCTTCTCCTCTTCATTACTGAGCATTTTCCCAGCCACTTCTTTCACACGTGGTACTGATGAAATCAAAGTGCCATTTCTGTACTGTACCCTTCCCTTCAAATTATAGCTCTATAGTTTTATTAGGTGCTCTGGTTCTTCTCCAGGAAATGTTTGAGATCCTGGGTTAAGTCTGATCTAGCTACCTTAAGCAAGAAGCCAGTCCTTGGCAGAGGGTGAAGTACTTGCCCCCTCCTCATGCCCCATGAACTGAGCTAACCAATAACCCCAAGGAACTCCCTTGCCTGAAACAAGCATCTACAGTCAGGTCCTTACACAACAATTTTCATGTCAAGTTCCTCTCCCAAACATATGGGTATTTCAATGTTTAACCTTAGTTTAGCCTCTCCTACCTCCCATGGAAAGAAATGAGTGGATTCTTTCTCTCATGAAAAGATTATGAGAAGATCTACCTTTGAGACCAGGTCCCACTGGCCTCAAATCTATACAGTACAATACAATGTCTATGTGATATTTTGTAAGTGGTTTCACTACTCCTGTTAGCAAAATGGAAGAAAAAAAAATCACTGTCTTCTCTATTTCCCAGACGCAATATAATCATTGCTGGATTGAATGAAATTGAAGGGATATGAAAGCCATTTGCAAACTAAAGGACTGTAGGAATCTGAGTGACAACAGTTATCTGAGCAGGAGGTCTCCTTCAAATCCTGAAATAATATTTCTTAAGGTCCTGGCCCTTTTGTCTATTTAAGGAGAAGAAGAAATGTTAGGGTCATAGGAGCAGAGATTCCAACTAATTAAAGAAAAAAAACACATGAAAGAGAACTGTGCTAGTTTCTCACTCCTTCTGAGTATGTATATAATAAAGTTTAATAACACCTATATCCTGGAACTGTTGAAAAAATTTAATGAGGCAATAACACAAAAATATATTTGTCTGAGATAGTGTTCATTAAATTTCAATTATTATCAATGTGAATCAGTATTAGGAAATACTGATGGTCAATCAGGTAATTGTGGATTCTAATAGACACCTCCAACCCTTCAGTATCTCCTTGTTCTCGGATCTCAGATCTCAGGGGTCTTCCTGCCTATGAATACCCAGATCTGAGCCAACTTGAAGAACCAGATATAGATGGAAACGGATGGAGATATATGAACTGAAGTAAGGTTTATTTCTTGGCAAAAAGATAAACATGCACTAAAGCTAGTTCCACCAAGGAGTACACCTCAGTGATAGGATGAGCTTGAGAGTGTGAGAGCTCAGACAGGTTAAGCCTAATTTTAGGTCAGCTACTTGGTCCTTAGTGGTCCATCTCACAAGGCTGTTTTATTAAATTCCTAAATTTGATACTGCTTTTATTTGGATACTTATCCTGTCATAAAAATAATCGCTAAAATTTTGTGTTCATTTTATGCAGGACGCTGTTCTTAGATTTTAATATGCATTGAATGAGAATCCTCTTATTAACTTTATGAACGTGTGATATTGGTGTCCTCACATTATAGAGGCACAACGTGAGGCCAAGAGAGATTTAGCTCTCCAAGTCATATAGCTAGAAAGTAGTGGGAACAGAATCTCAACAGGAGCAAACTGGCTGCAGATCCATATCTTTGGTCAGCCTTCAGTCAGGTGTTCCCTAGAGTGTCAGTGTCCTGAGGGAAGATGGCCTGTGCCCTACTTATTCTTGTATCTCCAATTAGCAGCAGTGCCAGGAACATGGTTGATTAAAAAAATAAGAAGAATAAATTTGCTCTGGTTTCCGCTGGAAGGAATCATATTGAGCATTGAGGGTGTGTCACTTACTTTGGCAATACTAGGTTATGATGGAAATTCAGGCATTTATCCTTTTTCTCCAGGAGAAAGTAAAAGACCCCACTGTGGTGGCCATAATCACACTTTCAAAGTCTTTGACATTTTCCACTTCCCTTCATCCCCAACAGACAGAAGAGGAGCATGAGGAGGGAGAATCAGAGCAGAGTGTCTGAGTCCCTCCTCTTGGGGCTCCCCATCCAGCCAGAGCAGCAGGGCGTGTTCTTTGCCCTGTTCCTAGACATGTACCTGACCACAGTGCTGGGGAAGCTGCTCATCACCCTGCTCATCAGGTTGGACTCTCACCTCCACACCCCCATGTACTTCTTCCTCAGCCACTTGGCCCTCACTGGCATCTCCTTTTCATCTGTCACTGTCCTTAAGATGCTGATAAACATCCATACTCAGGATCCATCCATCCCCTGTGCAGGGTGTGTAACACAGATGTTTTTCCTATTTTTTGTTGTATTGATAATCTCCTTCTTGCAGTACTGGCCTATGACAGCTACATGGCCATCTGTCATCCTCTCCACTACACTGCCATCATTCAAGAAAACCTGTGCTTCTTACTAGTGGCTGTGTCCTGGTTATTCTCCTGTAGCAGTGCAATGTCCCACACTCTCAGCCTGGCCCGGCTGTCCTTCTGTGCTGAGAACACTATCCCTCATTTCTTTTGTGATCTTGCCACTCTGCTCAAATTGTCCTACTCTGACACCTCCATCAGTGAGCTGGTCATCTTCACTTTGGGGGCACTGGGAATCATCATACCACTGACTGGCATCCAGGTCTCTTATGTCCACATTGGGGGTCTCCATCCTGAAGTTTCCCCCTACTGAAGGAATCTGGAAATCCTCGTCCGCCTGTGGCTCTCACTTGTCTGTGGTATTCCTTTCCTATGGGACAATTATGGCTCTGTACATTTTCCAATCATCAAACAACTCCCATGACAGAGACATAATTGCTCCAGTAACGTATACAGTAGTCACTCCCATGCTGAACCCTTTCATCTACAGTCTGAGTAACAGAGACATGAAGGGGCCTCTGGGGAGATTTTTCAGAAGGAAGATCTTTTTCTCTAACACAATCTAAAACAGTCACCTTACCATCTCAGTTCTTAATTCACCTAAAGGCTCTATCAGTGATTCCTCCTTGAAAACTATTCAGAGGACCATCCTTATTGCTAACACCCACCCCACCTCCCTGTTTTCAGTCACTTGCTTTGACTGTTCTTCCTGTTTGCTCCCCCTGAACCCAGTGAGTTCATTCATACCTCCAGGCACAGACACACCAAGTGATATTTGAGGTAACCATCTGTGTTCTTTGAACCAACTTCTTTTTGCTTTATTTTTATTTTATATCTTTTATGATTTATTTTTATTTTATGTCTATGTTTTCATAAGCCTTGGGATCTGGCACATGTAGTAGCAGCATTATCTCAGTCGTCTTCAAAGCACCAAACTTCTTTTAAGTCATGAGAAGGAATTGTCATCCTTAACAATTACACTATTGCCTTACGGTCATGAATAGACCAACAAAAAAATCCTTGCTTTGATGCTTGTGTTTCCTCTTTAAGGAAAAAGAAATTTTGACTGCAAATTTATTTGCTATTTGTATTTTTAAGGCATTTTTATAAGCTGTTCTTATTTTTAAGTTTTTGATTCCTATGTTGAAGAATATTAGAATTATCAAATGTGGTGTGGTTTGGAAATGGCAATCTTTTGTAGTGTTTATGCAGACGTCTTATATGAGTTTGTAACAATGTTTGTGAAACTTAATGGTGTAGAGAATTAGAACCCTCTTAAAATGCTTGTATAAAGATTAATGATAATCTATATTTTAGCAATCACCCCCTTAGTTTCACTCTTAATTTTTAAAATATTTTTTTCCTAGACTTCTAAATCTCAACTTAACTCCAAAGTTTAAGGTAAGGAAATTCAGAATGTCGGCTTACCTAACGGAGTAGCTGACTAATTAAGTGCTTCTTATGGTTTCCTAAAATGTAAACATAATACATAATTTCTGGCAGGTGATTCTAATGTGCAGCTGAGGTTGAGAACACCTGGACTAAGTAACCAAGAGCAACATATGCAACTGAATCAAGATGCATATCTTGAAAATAAACATCCACACCTACACTGGGAATTGCTCTAGATAATTGATATGCCATAACCCAGGAGGAAAATTGTGCCAAATTTTGCAACACAGCTGAAAGAACCTGTGATCCTTGGGAGCCTTGTTGACAATGAAATGTGGTCCAAACTTCAAGAATCATCTCTTGATGAGGCTTTGGAATAAGGTGGATGGAACTCTGATGCCCCATCCTTTAGATAGTGACTGGGTGAAGAAAGCTTAATCTTCCAAAAGAACCTGCTCTGAAAAATGAAGACAGAGAAAAAAATGTGTCCGTGTTAAATTTGGCTGTGAAATACATTTATGTGGAAATTCTTCCCTGGTGTGAAAATTGTGTTAATCATGATAATGGGAGGGAGGTCTCAATGGAACTGTCTCTGTTGTCCAAGCTGACTCCTGATTATTTCTTATTTCTTCATTTTCATTTACAGTTTTATTGTGAAGTAATTGACATACAGTTTTAAAATGTCAACTTAATGTATTTTGACACATACATGTGAAACCATCACTATAATCAAGATAATGAACATATCCATCACACACAAAAGTCACCCTGAAAAGTTTCCTCATATGCTTTTGTTAGCCTGCCCTCCTCCTCTTATCCCGATATTAGTAATTTGTATCTTTTCTCTTTTTCTCTTGATCAGTCTGGTTTATCAATTTTATCATTTTACTCAAAGAACCAACTTTTGGTTTTACTGCTATTATGTATTGTTTTTCTGTTTTCTGTTTCACTGATTTCTACTTTTATCCTTATTATTTCTTTTGTTTTGCCTACTTTGGATTTAATTTGTTCTCCTCTTTCTAGTATCTTAAGGTAAAATCTTACATGACTGATATGGGACCTTTCTTCTTTCTAGTATAGTCATTTAGTGCTATAGATTTCCCTCTAAGCACTCCTGTTGGCTCATCTCACAAATTTTGATATATGCTGTTCTCATTTCCAGTCAGTTGAAAGGATTTTCTAAATTTCCTTTGAATTTTTCCCCTTGACCTGTGGTTTATTTAGAAGTGTGTAATTTATCCATTCTTTGTCCGTTTGTCCCTTGATGGGCACTTAGGTTGCTTCCAAGTCTTGGCTATTGTGAATAATTCTGCAATGAACACAGGGCTGCAAAGAAGATGTGGTATATTCACACAATGGAATACTACTCAGCCATAAGAAACGATGAAATCCAGCCATTTGTGACAACATGGATGGACATTGAGGGTATTATGCAAAGTGAAATAAGTCAGAGGGAAAAGGTCAAATGGGGTATGATCTCACTCATTAAGTAGTAGATAACAAAGACAACAGACAAACACATAGAGACAGAGATTGAATTGGTGGTTACCAGAGGGGAAGGGGGAAGGGAGGAGGGCGAAAGGGATAATTAGGCACATGTGTGTGGTTATGGATTGTAATTAGTATTTGGGTGGTGAACATGAGAACATGATGTAATCCATGCAGAAATGGAAGTATAATGATGTACACCTGAAGTTTATACAGTGTTACAAACCAATGTTACCACAATAAACAAACAAACAAAAAAAAACAAGAAAGAAAGAAAAGAAATCCTTCAAATGACAAAAAAAAAAATAAAGTGTGTAACTTAGCTTCCAAATATTTGGGGATGTTTTCCTGATATCTTTTATTGATTCCTAAACTAATTCCATTTTGGCCAGAAAGCATACTTTGTAGGATTTGAATCCTTTTAAAATTAGTGAAACTCGTTTAGTGGCCCAGCGTATGATACATCTTTGTAAATGTTACACATGCCCTTGTAAAGAAGGTATATCCTGCTGTCATTGGGTAGAATGTTCTAGAAAGCTCAATTAAGACAAGTTGGTTGAGTGTTGTTCATGTCTTTTATATTATTACTAATTCCTCTCTACTTTTCTGTTGATTATTGAGAGAACAGTGTTGAAATATCCAATTATAAGTGTGGATTTGTGTATTTCTCCTTATAGTTCTGGTAGATGTGCTTCTTGCTTCTCTCTTTTTTTAAACCTGTTATTAGGTGCATATATATTTAGAATGTTTAATTCTCTTGATGAATTTACCCCTTTATTATCATGAAATGACAGTCTTTTATCCTTTCAATATTCTTTGCTCTTAAATCTACTTTGTTTATTATGAACATAGCTACTCCAGGTTTATTTTCATTAGTGTTTGCATGATATATATTTTTCTATCCTTTAACTTATTTTTATCTTCAGTTTAAAGGGGAGTTTCTTATGGGCAGTATATATTTGAGTCTTGCTTTCTGATCCAATCTAAGCATCTCTGTCTCTTAATTTGGATTTTTAAATAGCTCACACTTAATGTGATTATTGATATGATTTGGTTTGAATTTACCATCTTGGTATTTGTTTTCTATTTGTCTCATTTGTGTTTTGTACAATTTTCTCTTTTTCTCTGCCTTCTCTTGGAGGAACTGAGGCATCTTTTATGATTCCATTTTACCTCCTTTGTTGGCTTATTAGCTACGTATTTTTTTACATGTGTGGTTGTTTTTGGGCTTAAAGCCATCATCTTTAACCCATCACAGTCTAATTTCAAGTAATATTACACCACTTCACATACGCGCAAGCGACTTACAATATACGCTCCCATTTCCACTCTCTCTGGTTTTGTGTCATCGTCGTCACACACTCTACTTTTACATTTGTTATAAACCTCACAATAAATTTATTCTTTTAGATTTAAACCGTTAATTTTATTTTAATGTGACTGAAAGTTAAGAACATTTGTTTTATATTTATCCAAATGTTTAATATTTCTGATATTCTTCAACCAGATTTCAATTTAATATCATTTTCCTTTGCCTGAAGGCCTTTTTAAAACATATTTCTTTAGATGTTGTCTGGTGATAAATATTTTCAGCTCTTTTACAACTGAAAAGTTATTTTCACTGGTAAAAACTTCTAGCTTAACAGTTTTGTTCTTTCAGTACTTTGAGGATTTTGCTGATTGTCTTTTGGTTTGAAATATTTCCATGAGAAATTTGCTCTTATCCTTACCTTTTTTCAAAATGTGTCTTTTTTTCTGAATCTGCCTTCAAGATTTTCTCTTTATCACTGGTTTCAAGTAATTTGATTATGATGTGCTTCATTATAGTTTCTCACATTAAAAAAACATTTTATTGATGTATGATCAACATACAAAAAGCTGCATGTATTTAATATATACAACTTGATGAGTTTAGTGATAAGTATACACTCGTGAAATCATCACCACAATCTATGCCAGAAACATATCCACCCTCAACAAAATATCAGCAAACTGAATTCAACAATACATTAAAATGATCATACACCATGATCAAGTGGGATTTATTCCAGGGATGCAAGATGGTTCAAAATCTGCAAATTAATCAGTTTGATACACCATGCCAAGAAAATGAAGGATAAAAATCATGTGAACACCTCAATAGAAGCAAAAAAAAGCATTTGATAAAATTCCACATCCATTTATTGTGAAAACTCTCAACAAAGTGGGTATAAAGGGAAATACCTCAACATAAT